GCAACGCCCGTCCGCAAACAAAAAGCGAAGCGGGGCGGGGGGGCGGGCCGAGAAATACTGGCTCGCAGGAGGGAGTGGAAGGAGAGGGAACGAACGCGCTACAACGCACCACCGCGCGGCTGCAGCGCATCGCAAGGTGGAAGGGCGCCCGATGCACCTGGGGCGCAGCGGACCAACCCGCCGAACGCGATGCCTGGCGGACGAACCGCTCCTAACTGCAGCGCGCCCCGACTACCACAAACGACTGGCCAAATCCGCGCGTCAACGAAGAGGCGGAGGAATAACAAAAAGCACGTGGGGAAAACGAAAACCCAAACAACAAACAAAAAGACAAAAAGAAACAGAAAAGAAAAAAGGGTCGGAACGGGGACGCGCTGCACACATCAGTTCCTAACCAGCGCGCAAGTGGCGCCCTTGTCGAAGGAGTTCGGGGCATGGTGGCGGGGGCGATGCCTGCGCGGGGACTGTGGCGCGTGTGGGGCGCGGGGGTTGCATCTGCCGCACGGGCCGCCGGAGCTGCCGCGTGAAACGCAAGGGCAACGCAATCCACATGGGCTGCGCGATCCGCGTGGGATGTTGGGGCGGGGGGCCGCGTCGGACTGGCGAGGCCGCATGGGCCGCGCGAGGCGCGCGGACGCTCCCTGCTGATGGCTGGGCGGAACGCACACGTAGCGCGAAGCGCGCGGGCCGTGGGCGATACATGCATCGCGTGGCCGCTTGTGCTGCCCAGGCCGCAAAAAATGCGCGATCCGCGCGACAGTTGATCTTGCGCGCCGCCGGGCAAACCCTGCGCGAACACCGCGGGACTGGTAAACACTTGAGTAGGCCCAGTGAACATCACGACGCGCGCCCACTCGGGGAACCGCCCGCCGTTTGCCAAGCATTCGGGCGAGAGCCGCGCCGACCAAACCAACCAACCACCCAACCATCAAACACAACAGCATCATTTGAGACGCCCCCACAATGTGGCCGCGAGGGTTGGAGACGGAGCGCACCTTGCAATCAGATTTTGCTACTCCACAGCGACGGAAGCAAGGGCCAACGCGACCAATCAACCCAACCACGCAGCCGAAAGTCTCGGGCCAAAGCAGGCAGCGCGTGTTTAACAGCGATGTTGAATGGCAGAGCAGGATTGGTGAAGACGGAGATAAAAAGGGAACGGGCGAACCAGGAAGAGCAGCAGCAATAATACCCCCCCGCAAGGCAGGGGTGCAGCGTCAGGCCTCCCGCCCCAGTCGGCCGCCGAAGCCTGGCCCGGACACCTCCACGCTGGGCTCGGAGCGCCGTCGGCGCCGCCGCGGGGGAGGCGGGGGGAAGGGAAAAAGGGGGGGCGCCATCCCAGGTGCATCCGCCGACAAAAAGCGGAGGGGTGGGGGGCAGCAAGGAAGGGCGCGAGGAGGGAAAGGGAAAAAACGTGCTGCAACGCACCACCATGCGGCTGCAGCGCAATGCGAACTGGAACAACGACAGCTGTGCCTGGAACGCAGCACAAACCGACCCGCCGCAAACGAGGCCTGGCGGACGAAACGTTGTTGAGTGCAGCGCGCCCAGAAGCCCAAGTGGCCAACCAAATCTGCGCGGCATCATAAAAAAAGGCAGGGGAACCAAAGAGAACTGAGGGGGAAAAGGAGGATTTGAACAACGAGCGGGAAAGCGCTGGAGAGAGGGGGGGAGGAAGAACCTCAGACGGGCATGGACTGCAAAGGCCAAGTGTAAGTGAGGTAGGGCCTCTCAAGATCGAAATGCTGCACAGGCGACGGCAGGACAAATGCTTCGACACGAGAGATCATCATGTATGCATCGGTGAGTTCCTCCTCCGCCTTCTCCTTCTCATCCTCCTCGTCCTCCTTCTCTTGATCCTCCTCACCCACGTTATTTGTCATTGCGGCTCCTTGCGACGAGCGTCGAACAGCAGGTATGTAAGAAACAGGGTGGACCGAGAGATCCTCGCAAGATGAACGCGACAGCGCCCGTGATGTACCCCTTAGCGCCCCCCCTTGCGATCACCAGATGCCATGCCTGCTACCTCACGACGACCAGGCAATATTGAACAATTACTCGAGGCATTCCCAGAAATTGGGCGCCAATGGGTAAGTGTCCCACCCGCCATCACTTCGCAATTATCACGCAGCCCTGAACAAAGGCACGTTTACCTTTCAACAACCAGCGCATCGCGTGACATATCCCCACTATCTGGGCACTCGCGCGCAAGTGTCCTGCCCCCTGGCGGCTAACTCTTGTTGTGCCCAAATCGTATGTCTTCTACGTCGTCGCGGCGACTGCGCGGCCCTAGTCAGAGACGCGCCGATATTCCCAAACCAAGCGATTAAATTGTAATATCCCCACAATCTGGGAGCGAACGCACCCTTGATGTACCCCTTGGCGCCTCCCCCCTGTGGCGCCCAAAGGTGATGACTGCTACACCGCGATTGCCACGGCCTGAAAACACATGTTTAATTTCCAAGAGCAATTTGTTCGCAGGGGACGTCCCCACAAATCTGGGCGCCAACGGGCAAATGCCCCGACACTCTGACGGCCTCCCTCCCTCTCTGGGGTGCCCAAGTATATCACTCCCGGCACACTCCTGTCGAACCGAACATACAAACATAAACAACGACAAGAGCAGCCACGCCTTCAAAGGAAACCACCTCTCAAACTTACAACAACGCATTGATCAGATCGGTAACCCGCCACCCATAAAATGCTGACAACAGGCGGAATTGAGAGACTTAACCGCAATGTATATTTCAACACATTGCGAAAATTGGCCGACGTGTTGAGACGCTGTCGTCGTCTTCGTCGTCGTCGTCGTCGTCGCCAGTCCTCAGTCCCGCCTCTTGGGCCATCTTGGGGCGATCTCAGGGGCCTCTTGGGACGTCTTGGACGTTGGTAAGACCAAACAACGAATATACTAAACACATACTGCTTCCTGAAATAATTGTACGGCCTTCGCCTCTTGGGGCCGTCTTGGGGGTCCTCTTGGAGCCGTCTTGGGGCGCCTTGGGCCGTCTTGGACTCTCTTGGGACTTATCTGGAAGCTCTGGGGGGTCCCAGAGGGACTCCGCGGAAGCTCCGGGGAGGTTCAGGGGAGGCCCGGGAGGGGAGGGGGCCCTTAGGTGATTCTGGGTGACCCTGGTGTGCTGCAGCCCAGGGGCCTCTGGGAGTAGGTTTCCGATGTATGAATGACTAAATCCACGTGCGCGCTGCGCGCGCTTTGGTTCTAGCAAGGTGTGGCGACGGTCCAGGGTTCGCAGCATCGGAGCGCAGAAAGACTTCTACCAATCATGATCAATCAGCAAATCGTACCCTCCCTCTATGCCCCCACGGATGCATGCCATGAACCCAATCGACCTGAGTCCTGCATTCTCCTCTCAGCAAGACCTCTCAATCCCTCTCCTTTCCACCCCCTTTTTTGGCGGACCAATGGAATCACATTTCACGCGGCAGAGGAGCTGTTTTTGTTTGGGACTTGCCACAGGAGCCAGCTCTGCGCGCGGGCGCGGTGAACGTGTTCCACTCGGCGTGCAACGATGAAAAATACAGCTGAAAAAATACAGCTGGCCGCAGGTCTAAAAAGTATTCCGCATGATCCCGCTTCGGCTGGCTACATTCCCCCTTCTTTATTCCCCAAACAGCTTGCTGAACGGGGTACTGTTGAGATAGAAGCTAACTCCGGCCGAGGGAATTCAAAGCAGTGACGTCCTCAAAATCATTTGGTGGTCTGGGCCGTTTCGCATGAGACATGCTCGCAACTCTCGTTTCTGAGTTGTCCAGGATTGGGCGTTTCGCGTGAGACATCCTCCGAACTCTGAGTTCCCAGATGCCGCGCACGAGGTGGTCCAGCCCCTTTCGCCTCAGACATCCTCGAAACTCTGGGCTCCGAGGTGCCGCGCGAGAGGTGGTCCGGCCCGTTTCGCCTGAGACATCCTCAAAACTCTGAGCTCCCAGATGCCGCGCGAGAGGTGGTCTGGCCTGGGGGCCCAGAAGATCACATGTTGCATATCCCCTGAGTTCGTTTGTTGCGACATCGCGAACACCACGCGGCACCGAAAAAGACGCGCCTACATCCGTGAAGCAAGCGAACCGCTGGAGACACCCCCACAATCTGGGCACCAACCGGTAAGTGGCCTATCCCCTGGCGGCACCGCCTTGTGTTGCCGAAGTGCTTTGCCTGTCACATCGCGATTATTATGATCGTGATATGGAGAACGAGGGAGGAGGAGGAGGAGGAGGAGGAGGAAGAGGAGGAGGAGGAGGAGGAGGAGGAGGAGGAGGAGGAGGGAGTGAGTAGACGGAGGCGCGACACGGATAACAATAATTCACTGCGCAAAACATGGAAATAAACAAAGCAACATACTCAACGAGATGTGCAACTGCCTGCACACTGATCAATTTGTTCCGTCGGACCCTTGCTCCGCACGCGTTCGACGGAAATTGGCAGCAATCAAACTGGTCCAATCTGCCTGGACATCGCTCCGATTTTGACTTCCGTCGAACGTGTGTTTGATTCGCCCCTGTCGTCCAGCCCCCAAGCCGGTTTCTGCTGAGACATCCTCACGATTCGCTCCTAAACTGGCCACGGCGTGCAGGTGACGCTGGCGGTGTGCTGCCCACGCCGAAGCGAGAGCGCCGTTTGGACGGACTTTCGGCCACTGTACGCGCACGGTGCACGCAGCGGCTCCAGAGGGAGAAAGAGGGCGGGAAGGCGGGACAAGCGGTCCCCCCTGTGACCCAAAAGGCTGCGGAGAAGACACGGGAGCCGAGGGGGAAGTGAGACGGATGCATGCAAGTGCGGAGGGAAGGGGCAAAGACAGACAGAGGCCCGGTCAAACCACATGGGTTGGCCCGTAGACGGGCGAGGCTCCAGCACAGTGGCCTGAGCGCACATGTGCGTAAACGGAGAGCAAACGCTGTGCCTCCGAGGGGGGAGGGGGGAGGAAAGAAAAGAACGGGGGAAGGTGCAGAGAGACTAAAATACGCGTCACATGTGTGAATCCGCGCTAGCTCCTGCTCCCAGTCCTCCTCCTACGCGTGACCAAGTTGCGAATCGTTTGTGCTGTGCTGTGCTCTGCTTCTGGGCAGAAGTGCGTGCTGTGCCACACGCCGCCTCCATGCACGCGACAGCCCTCAGTACGGTGACTCGGGATGTACACGTCGGCCTTCGCCTCGTAGATCGCCTTGAACGCCGCGGTCGCCTGCCTCTCTGCGTTGCCCGCCGTCCGCCAGTCTGCAAACGCATTCTGTGGCACGTGGGACGGCCTCACGGCAAAGAAGTCCGTGTGCGTCTTGTTCGGAGTGCAGCCAGAATGGTCTTCGCAAACCTGTCGGCAAGCGACGAAGACGCCCCAATTCTCTGCCTTCTCCATGCGAGACCAAACGGCGCGGTCGTCGTAGATCACATAAACAGGGTTGACACGGATGACCCAATCGTATCCTCGGAACCATCCGCTGGAGAATCCAATGTGGGCCGCCTTCATCGCTCCCTCCTGGTAGCCTGGGTTGTTGCCGAAATGAACAATATGATTACGCAAGGGCCACTTCTCCAGAAGCAGGGTGATGTTGCGCTTTCTGTCGTCAGTGAGATTATCTGACCCGACGTACAAAATAACGTCCGCTTCCGAAAGCCTTGGCGACGCCCGCAGTAGTGGGGGCAGACATCTTAAGAAACTCATGTGCTGATCCGAAGCGTGCGTTGTGACGTAGAGCACCACGCTGACGCTCGTGCGAAGTGACCGCAGCCCCGATGCGGCACCGATTGAGGCACCATCGGCGTGGTTCGCCACCCGCACGGCCAGACCCGCAGCGAGCGCGGCCACCGAACACCCAACGAGCCGCAGCGCGAGGCCACATGAGCGGCGCCGCTGCTGGCCATGGCGCTCCGACGCGGGCGAGGCACACGACTCGGGTACCGTCATGCCAAGCAGCACCGTCGCCTCTGGACCGGCGGCGCCGGCGGGGTCTGCCGCGGCGGCCATCGCGCCAAGCATGGGGAGCGTCTTTGTAATGCGGGATGACGATGAATAAAAAATAGGAGAGAACGATTAAAACAATAATTTTCTGCTATTTCTGCACAAGCTTCTGACTGGAGGAGAACGATGTTTAAACTAGTTTTCCAGCCCGCGGCCGACTCTTTCTAATCGTCATCCCGGGCGCCGCCGCGTGAACACGACCCCCGGTCATTTATTAATCGTCATCCTCCATTATCCCCTCTTCGATATATGGCGAGTGGGCGGACTTGTGCGCGGCTTGGCGCCCGCTCCTGGAGCCAAAACGGCCAAAGAGGGGGCCCTCTCGGGGCTTCTTGGGAGCCTCGGCGACCCTGCAGCCGCCGTCATGGACGACCAAAAAGCGATGCGGGCGGTCTTTGGAGTGTCCTGGGGGTTCAGCGGCTCCCCCCGAGACTGCACGGGGCCCGCTCTGTATCACAGGTGAGGCTGAAGCCTTCTGGGCACTGCGCGTGGCTGCGTCTGCCTGCTTGCTTGCCCGCGGTTCCACCCCGCGGCCTCAGGTGCACACGGCTCAACGAAAGCAGCAGGCCTCAAGATCCCCCGACCTCTTCTGCGGTGGGCCCTCGAGGAGGAACGTGAGCAGAAACTCACAAGCGTGAGCACCTTCATCAAAACTTCCCGTGGCCTTCTCGGCGTGACTCTCTGCGCTGGCCTGCTCCCGAGCGGCCACCCCAGCTCTCAAGCCCTCCGAGGAGGAGGAGGAGGAGGAGGAGGAGGAGGGGGAGGAGGAGGAGGAGGAGGCGGCGGAGGAGGAGGAAGAGGAGAGGGAGGAGTAGAGGCAGGAGGAGGAGGAGAAGGCGGATATGGAGGAGGAGGGCCCTCGGCCCTGGGACGATCCCCGAGGACACGCCGCGCATCCGGAGGAGGTGCTCTCCCCAAACAGCTTGTGCACCATACGATCGACGTCGTGCAGGAAGGGCCAGGGGGTCCGCCCCTGGCGATGGCATCGGTGACTCGAGGGTCTCCCGTATGGCCTCCCGTATGGTGGCCCGTATGGTCTGCCGCCGTATGGCCACTACAATAATGAAGGGGCCCTGAGACACACAAATAAATACACATAAATAAAAGGATTCCCCATATGTTCCCATACTTTCTGGGTTTTTGTCTTCCCCCCCAATTCCCATATGTTCTCATATTTTCCTGGGAACGGACGATTAACTGTGTCTGTATGTTTCTTTCCCTCCTGAAATAAAATGCCCTCTACGGTTGAATTTTAATGGTTCGGGTCTTCTGGCGCCAGGGTGTGTTTTGATGGTTCTTGGCTGCAGGCAGGGTCAGGGTGCCCAAATCTGGCAAAACCTTCAGGAGCCTTTCTCGCCAGGACGCCGTCTCCGCATAGCGGGTACCACACTTCCTCGCAACCTCTGCCTCCCCACCTCTTCCCAATCGCCTTCCTAATCTCTCGCCCAAGCAGCACGACATTCCAACTCTGGGGCACAGGTGTCTCTACCCGAGGGCTCCCACCACGGGGGGGGCACATCAGATCTGCCGATGCAGCGGCAACGGAAACCTGAGACGTGGGCCCTGTGAATTCCTGCATTCGCTCGATCCGAGACTCCTGCGCATCCGGGCAACGGGTGGGATGCAATGTCGTGTCGTGAGTTTCCGCCTGTATCGACCCAGAAACAATAAGCCTGCCAACGACGCTGGCCTTCTTCAGCATGATCGTCCGGTCTGCAAAGTGCCACTGCTCGTCACCGCGTGGGCCCTGGAGCAAGACGGGAACCAGATCATGAGGACGGGGAGGTGGAAGGATGATGGGGGGAAGCAGGACGAGGAGGAGGAGGAAGGAGGAGGCGGAGGAGGAGAAAAGACGCGAAGGCAGAGAAACAGAAAAATGGGGCGCAGCAATTAGCGGAGGGAGAAAAACACAATGATGATGACAGCCAGGAACGGTGTGCATTAGTGGCACGAAGACAGGGAGAATGATGGGAGGGGTGAGGAGGGGCCGGACTATGGAAACGAAGGTTCTCCTGGATCCCTGCTGAAGCCAGGTTGGAGACCCGATGGCCCTCGGCTCCGTCGCGACCGGCTGCGATTACTGTGGATCGCGGGCCATAGACCAAGAACAACGACCATAGAATTTGTTCATTCAAGGTGTTCCCTATATTTCTTTTTCTGGGGCACGTTCTCGGGCCCCTGGACCATCAAATCAGATGCGAGGCGAACATCTAGCTCCTGAAGCATGATCGCCGCCGAGGGGAGGGGGAGGGAGGAGGGGAGGAGGGGGCCAAGAGGACGGATGGAAGCAGGGCGGGGGCGGGCACGGGCGGGCCCGCAGAGGAGGAGAGGGGTCGAGCGGCCGAGGCGGGCATGGCTGCGGAGCCACAGCGGAAGGACCTGGGCGCAGCAGGGAGGCCACGGCATGCTCGTGCCGGGGCGGCCTGCGTGCGGGTGTCTTTTCACGGCGCGGATCGTTTAAGCAGAAGCGATCGCGGTCTCCTGCTGGCGCGGATCGGTGTCGCGCTGGCGTCGCCACCGCCTCGACGCAGTGCGAACCTACCGTACACTGGTAATTACAAGGACGCGCGGGGCCCTTCGGGGCCGCTGGTGTGGAGGATTCGTACCTTCGCGCTTTAAAGTTTCGCGTGACTTGCATGCCGCGAGGAGCAGTGAGCGCGAGTGTCCACGGGCACGGGGTCGCTCTGCGGCAGAGTAGGCTCCTCTTCCTGCTGCCGCCATGCCGTAGCATGCTGCCCTGCTGTGAAATCCCGCCGGGGTGTCCGCTGGCGGGTCCGCCGGGGGACTCTGCTGGCGTGCCCGCCGGGGCGCCCCGATCCATTGTGGCGTCCCCCAGACGCAAACACAACTGATGAAACGAAGAAGCCAGGAGTAGTTGAGCCGGCCAGTGCTTGGGCAGGCGCGGGGCACTTGGCCTTCGAGGGGCAGGATCGCGCGCACCGCCTTGCTCGCCGCCAGAGCAGGCACCGACGGAATGCGGATTGTGCCGATGAGGAGCTGGAGAGGAGGAGGAGGCATGAGGATGAGGAGGAAGAGAAGGCGGGGGAGGAGGAGGTGGAGGAGGAGGCAAATAAGCGGAGCACTGAAGCACGAGATCGAGGAGAGCAGGAGGAGGAGGAATAGGCGGAGGAATATGCGGAGGAGGCGGCGGCGGCGGCGGAGGAGGAGGGCGAGGAAGAGGAGGCATGATGGGGTTGTTTTTTGGTTGTTTTTCTGTTCGGCCCCCTGGCGCCCTACCGGCGGGCTAAACCAGGGGGCCGTCAGCGCAGCAGTCAGGCCGCGCCGTCGCCGTCGCCGAAGGGCGACTCCCTGCCCGCCGCCGCGCGCGCCCGCGCCCAGCGAGCAGCGGCGGCGGGCGAGGCATGATGAGGAGGAGTAGAGGCAGGATGAGGAGGAGGAGGAGGACCAGTGGAAACCCAAGAGTCATCAACGATGTTGGAATTAACCCTCCCTCCAAGCTCCCTATTCATAGGCCCTTACAATGGTCATTTCCATTGGAAGAACCTGAAGCGTGCCAGAACATTGTTCTCGGGATTTCAACGCCACGTATCAACCTGACTGCTGCGTCTTGACGATCCAGAACCGTGCATCCTTCTTCAAACACCAATTCTGGTACGCTGATCATGGGAATCCATGAAACCCTTGCAATGATTTGAAGCGAATGTGCGCGGGGCTAAAGGGAGAATCACATGTTGAAAAAGAACCGCCCTCAATCCGCGAAACCCTTGCAAATGTTGAAACGAATGTGCGCGGCGCTTGGGCGACAACCACATTTTGAACACAACCCGCCCTCAATCCGTGAAACTCTTGCAAATGTTTAAAACGAAAGTGCGCGGCACTAGGCGAGAGCCACATATTGAAAACCACCCGCCCTCAACCCGTGAAACTCTTGCAAATTGTTAAAACCAATGCGCGCGGCGTTAAGGCGATAATCACATTGTGAAAACCACCCCCCCTCAATCCGTGAAGCTCTTGCAAATGTTTAAAACTAATGTGCGCGGCGCTAACGCGAGAACCACATTTTGAAAACCACCCGCCCTCAATCCGTGAAACTCTTGCAAGGTTTGAAAACGAATGTGCGCGGCGCTGAAACGAGAGCCACATTTTGAAAGCGACCCGCCCTCCACCTGTGAAACTGGTGTCACGTTTTAAACTTCAGGGTCATACATGGTGAGGAAGTCTCAGGCGAAACGCCCGGCCCGCCCTAAAAACTGGCCCGGGGGTGCAACAGGGAGGAATTATCTATAAGGAGAAGGAATGGAGGAGGAGAACAATGAGGAGTAGAAGGAGGAGGAGGAGGAGGAGGAGGAGGAGGAGGAGGAGGAGGAGGAGGATGATGGAAGTGGAGGAGGAGAAAAAGGAGAAGGAGGAGGAGGATGAGGAGGAGGAAAAGGACGATGATAATGATGATGATGATGAGGAGGAGGAGGAGAAACAGGACGAGGAGGAGAAGGAGGAGGAGGAAGAGAGGCGGAGGAGGAGGCATGCGGAGGAGGAGGAGAAGGAGGAGGAGGAGAAGAAGAAGGAGGAGGACGAGGAGGAGGTGGAGGAGGAACTCCTCAAGCCATGGGTAATCAGATATCAGGAGGAGAAGCAGGAGGAGAAGGAGGAGGAGGACGAGGAGGAGGAGGAGGCAGAGGACGAGGACGAGAGACGTGGAGGAGGGACGCGGAGAAGTGGGCGAGGCGGAAGGTGGAGGACGGCCTCCTCCTCCTCCCTCCTCCTCCTCCTCCTCCTCCTCCTCCGCCTCCTCCTCCTCCGCCTCCTCCTCCTCCTCCCCCTTCCTCCTCCCCCTTCCTCCTCCTCCTTCCTCCTCCTCCTCCTCCTCCTCCTCCTCCTCCTCCTCCTCCCGACCACTCCGGGCTTTGCCGCCGGGGGCGCCTCGAGCTCGCCCCACGGCAGGCGGAAGGAGGGGCCGCCGTCGCGCAGCCCGAGCACGTGGAGCACGCCGCCCGCGGCCTCGCTCCGGCGGCCACGGGCGCGGGGGTGCTTAATGCGGGATGACGATTAATAAAAAAATAAGAGAGAACGATTAAACAAATAGTTTTATGCTATTTCTGCACAATTTTCTCACTGGAGGAGAACGATTAAAGGAATAGTTTTCCAGCCCGCGGCCGGTTTTTTCTAATCGTCATCCCGGGCGCCGCCGCGTGAACACGACCCCCGGTCATTTATTATTCGTCATCCTCCATTAACGTGGGGTATCCATACAGGGCAGCTTTTAATACATCGGATTTTCAAACACATATGAATTGTAATACACGATTAACGTATGAATGAGTTTATGCAGGAGCTCATCGTTGTTTTTAATGCTAGATCCCTGCATTTTTGATACATGATCCGCACGCGGAGCACGTATTAAAAACGGCGCTGTACACGCTCGCGTCGCGACAAACACCAGGTCGAGAGCGGGGAGCGACAGAGCGAGAGAGCCGGGGGTGACAACGACGACGACCACGACGACGACGACGACCACGACGACGAAGATATGTTCGACCTCGGGGGGCCCTCGCACAGCCGAAGGATCGTCAAACCTGGCTCAGGATGAGAAGCCGGCCTGGGGGAATGGGTCGGGACTCCTGGAGACCGCGCAGTGAAACAATCGGGACGCCGCTCCAGCCCAACTCGAAGACCCGAATTTCGGGTTGAGGGGGTACGGATTCCACATGTGGTTTTTCAATGTTCCCCGGCGCCCCCCCCCCTGGGAATGGAGGGCAGATTGGGGTCTTCTGGTTGGGTTCGGATGGTTTGGTGGCTGGTGAGCGTTTGGGCATCGCGACCCCAATCACCGATGTAACATCGGGGATTGGGGTCGCGATGCCCAACGGGCCGATGTTGGGGGGTTTTCGGCTGGAACAAAGATTTGGGGCCCAACTCTGGGATGCACGATTGGGAGGCGTCCATTCTCGACGGGGGTGCGTCCGGCTGGCCCCTTGGGGGTGTGCCCTCCTGAGCTCCTCCCCCTCCTCCTGAGCGGCCTAACTTTTCAGGCGGAACTCGGGGACCTGGGGGTGCAGCCCCGCAGGTCTGCAGCCCCGCAGGCGCCGATCTGCGGAACACGGGTCTGCATGTTTTTCTCCCCCTCTGGAGCTCCCCGGGGCCCTCCACGGGCCCCGGGACTGGTGGGCTTGATCGCCACCGCCACCACCATAAGCTGGAATGGACGTGGGTCCTCCTCCTCCTCCTCCTCCTCCTCGACGCCTGCGGGTCAAAACCGCCTGCGGGTGCACGGTGCAAAGCAGCCAACCGTGTCTCGGCGGCGCGCCGCGGGCGGCGCTGCAAAACGTTGCCTCGCACGCCGGGCGTGCTCGCCCGGCTTCGGGCCTCAGGGCCATCACAGATCGATCCGGCGGCCGGAAGAATGCCGCAGAGAGATTGGGCCCGGGGCTCTGGTTGGGATGTTTCGCAGCGTCGGATAGCAGTGCCTGGCGCTGCCTGGCAGAGGTGTGCGTGCCTGGGGGGGGAGCGAGAGGGGGCACGCCTTCTGAGGAGGCGGCGGAGCTTCCCAGAATAGGGGAACACACAACGACACAAACATCAAAACTCGGAAGTCCGCCCAGATTTCTCGGATCGTCGCTGGACACCCTCCCTGGCGCGCGGAGCGCGCCAGGGGCGGCGCCCGAGGCGCCGCCAGGGGACTCCACCCCCGATTCGAGAAACTTGCGCGGACCGTCGAGATTGACAAACGATCAACACGCACCCATACCCATAGAGGGGACGGAATGAGCGATGGGTGCGTGTTGTCGGATGGGGGTCCCCGCTTGAAAGGGAGCCTCCCCAGGGGTCCGACAACCCGCACCCATACCCATAGCCAGACCTTCTCCCTCCGACCTCCATATGGAGATGTGTGTGTGTGTGTGTGTGTGTTGTTCGTTCGTCAGAGATTGGTATGTTTATGTCGCTGGTTGCTCTCCGACAGACGCCCTATGGCCTTCTGCGAGCCCACCGTGGCCTCTCGGAAGGAGCGGCCTTCGGAGTCTTCCGAGGACGCGCGCGCGCGCCCCCTCCCCCCCTCCCCCCTGGCGGCGCTGCCGAACGGTGCAGCCACCACTTGGGGGCGAGCGAGGGGGGGCAGCGAGAAGCAGGAGGTGACAGATTTTCTGGTAAGGATCATTGCCCAAAGGGGGGTCGGGCGGGATGGTAACCGTAACAGCGGCCGCGGCGTGCACCCGCCAGGGTGCGTCCGCTCCGCTAGCGCATCAACCGCCTGTGTGCACCACAGCATGTAGCGGGGGCCCAGGCCAACCCCCCAATACGATCGTTAGCGTTACCCCCGGGGGGGGGGGTGCTGGGTAACGAGCGTCACCCCAGTGGGGAACCGGAACGGACAACACTCACGAAACCCTCTCAGAAGGCGGCGGGGCTTCTCAAAGACCTCTGGCATTCTCAGAGGTTTTCGATGTCTTCGGGGAAGGCTTAGAACAGTTCTCAGAAGGCGGCCCAGGGACTTCCGAGCCTTCTGAGAAGGCCCGCCCCCTCCCGCTTCCCCTCCGGGCTGGCATCCGAATGCAGGCATTGAATTCCAACGTGGGTCTGTTACTATAAAGAGGGTCATGCAACAAACGTTGAAACACATATTATGACGATATGTGCATATGCGGTTTGGCAAATCGGGGCGGCATCGACGCGACGCCAAGAGGCGTCGTGGACTCGAGACTTGGCGTCCGGGCTGTGCCTGCAGCAGGCACAGCCCCAGACATGCGAAGCCCTGTTTCTTTCAGTGCGGGATCCCAGGAAGTCCCGACCGACCCCTTCCCAGGGCCGGTCCTTCGGCCCGAGTAGTTCTTTCACGCTGCTGGGGCCCAGCGAGGGCCCCCGGAGGCCGAACACTGCCAAACACCTCCCGTCAGAACTGTTTCACGACGCGAGCATGTCCAGGGCAAGTGGAGCGTGTTGCAACAGCGGAGGAAAGAAATTCTGCGCGTGGCTTCCCATGCTGCTCGCTGCTTCTCCCGCTCCTGGGTGCTCTCTCTCTCTCTCGCGCGGCCGCCGTCCCTCCTCCTGAGATGCCACCGCAGCCTGGGCCTCCTCCTCCTCCTCCTCCTCCTCCTCCTCCTCCTCCTCCTCCTCCTCCTCCTCCCCGTGTGCCGGGCCACACGCCGAATCCGTTCTCGTGCACCCAGGAAGATTGTGTGAAGAAAGGGGGCGCGGGAGGCCATGGAGCGCCACGGCGGCCAAGACCCAAGAGGGCGCTCGAAGGACACCCACGATACACACAAGAAGACCTGGTTTTGGACAGGGTGCACGGTGGACCCCCCGCGGTTCGCAATCAAGAGACCCCTGACCCCTTGTTGGGTTCAGAGTCCCAAGACATCAAGGGTATTGGTTTTCCCAGTACGTATCAAAACAGACCACCCATATTGATTAACCGCGTGCGGGCAGGGACCCACGTTAGGCTACGTCTTCATTGCGCTGCTCGGGTAAGGGGTTCTTTTCTTCTCGATGACCCCGCCTCGTCGGCCTCAGACGACTCCAAGAGGCCCGTCCAAGATCTCAAAGAGAGCTCAAGAAGAAGGGCTCCCCCCGAGGCCCCGTGCCCCAGGGGAGCCCCCGAGACCCGCCGCGCGGGCCCCAGGCGGCTCCAAGAGCGGCCCGAGAGGGCCTCGCAGATCGCCTCAAGACGCGCTCGGGAAGCCCACGACTGGGAGAGAAGCGGACGCGCGACGGCCTCGAGCGGCCCTCCAAGGAGGCCCCGAGCGGCCCAAAGCCAGTCCGCGACGGGCGAGTCTGGGGCGACGGTCCGAGCACGCGCGTACATAGTCTCCAAGCAGTGCTTGCGCTGAGGGGCTCTCGCTCATCTTCCTTGCGGTGGAGGCCAGTCACCAAGAAACCTTCCACACGAAACCCAGCCCTGGGACCCCAGGACGCCCTTCGATGTCTGGGTGTGGGAACGTCACGCGTTCCATGGGAAGAGAATTTCTCGACACCCAGATAAAACCAAAAAAAACAGGGCAGCCTGGAGGCAAGCAGGGTGCTTCTCTTGGCGTGGGCCCCGCTGCAAGGTTCTCGGCTGGTGTTCTGGGCGCTCGCCACGCCTGCGCCTCGTGGGCGCCCACGTGGGCGCCGCGTGGGCGCCTCGTGGGCGCCCCGCGCCCTGCAGGGTGCCGTGTGGGCGCCTCGTGGGCGCCTCGTGGGCGCCTCGTGGGCGCCTCGTGGACGCCTCGTGGGCGCCGCGTGGGCTCCGCGTGGGCGCCGCGTGGGCGCCGCGTGGGCGCCTCGTGGGTGCCCCGCAGGCCTGCGGGGTGCGCCGAGGCAGTGCTGACGTGGCGGCCCCGTGCCGCAGCGTGGGGCGCCCCGTGCCTCGTGGCCCTGCACGGCACGGGCTCCGCCCCACAGCTTTCGCCGCATGCCTCACACCCTGCACCTCACACCTCCCCCCCTCCTCCTCCTCCTCCTCCCTCCCCCTCCCCCTCCTCCTCCTCCTCCTCCCTCCTCCTCCTCCTCCTCCCTCCTCCTCCTCCTCCTCCTCCTCCTCCTCCTCCTCCTCCTCCCTCCTCTGCTCCTCCTCCTCCTCCTCCTCCTCCTCCTCCTCCTCCCTCCTCCTCCTCCTCCTCCTCACCCTGGCCAGGGCGCCTCATACCTCACATATCTGTATACACACATCATGCTTGACATCTGACGTGCGCAACATATAGCTGACATCACACACCTCAAGCACCACGCCTTCCGCCTCCGGTCCTTGCCGCCCGGCTCGCACGACGGAGCTTGAAGGCGCAGCTTGCACTGTATACGGTTCGCCTCCCTAGCTCACACTATATAGCCTGCGCTACATGGCTGCCACCACATGGGTTCCACCTACAAAATGTAATAGCACACTGTGCCGGGTCCCACCATGTATGTGTGCCCCTACGTATATACGCATTTTCCAGCCCGTCTCATATACACGCACAACTCGGTGGGCAGTTTAAGCCCTGAGCGGTGTGGATCACATTACCACACACGTTGTTATCCCACAGGTGGCCTCGCCCCTAGTCAACAAATCGGCTTGAAACGGTCCAGGTGACTCCGAACACCGACGCCCACATGAACCTGGATGTGAGAATCTCTAAAACGTGCGCCTACGATATGCGTGACGATTACTGCGCTCCGCCGATGATTGCACCATGTACTGCGCCTACAGCGTGAACACCAATCATACTACTGCGCTGGGCCATCTGGACGGCCGCACCTCCGCGCACTTCTTTCGCCCTGGCGCTATTAATGCCGAGTCTGACACAATTGCTATACGCTTGTAGGTCTGAGCTGTTCGCCGTATGCCCGCTGCGGAGACTTACCAGCTGTGCCGCCGCGCACAGAAGACAAAGACATATACGCACGACCCCACACGGTCAGACATATCGTGCAACAGCAGGCGCACAGGCAGGACACATATCATTGGACACATAGAGCGCTCATGCGTTGGGAAGTTGTATGTGTACTTGAGTGCACCGAGGGAGGAAGAGAAGGAGCGAGCGAGCGAGCGAGCGAGCGACAGAGAGAGAGAGAGAGAACGAAACCCAAAGCGATGCCATACACCCACAGATGTTGATTTACACAGGGAGAGAGAGAGAGAGAGAGAGAGATAGAGAGGCAATACGCTGATGGAGAAGAAGATATGGGCTGGGAGATAATGGTATATGTATATGTATATACGTATATCGTAGAAAAAGAGAGAGAGAGAGTGAGTGACTGGAACAGGGTGATCTATATATACATAGATGCATGTAAAGAGAAAGAGAAAGAGAGAGGGAGAGCAATATTGCATCAGTCGATGTTTTTCTGCCCCCCCCCCTGGCCTGAACGGTGTTTGCTAGGTAGCAGAGCGTATCCTGGAGGAAGCGAGGCACACGATGGGCTTTGCTGCTGGCTGGTGGCTGTGCAATGCGGACTGGCGAGAAGCGGACCTGCCACTCTTGCTGCTGCTGTCGCGCCGCTGCTGCTGCTGCCTGGGTAGCGTGCCTCTCAATTCACTTGTGTTCCTCAATGCGTCAAGGTGGGGCCGTCTCTGGAACCGCCCGCCGAAAGTGAGCGCCAGCACGTATAAATGAAGCGGCCTCAAAGTACAAAAAGGCAGGGACAGTGTAACACCGGGGAGGCCCGTCAATGGAGGCTGAGGGGCGAGGATGCTGCAAGAGGTTGATCTGCACGGATGTCGACTTCCCTGTCGGCGAGGGTGATCAAAACATGGATACGTGCAAACGCGATGGAGGGACCAACAGAAGAGATGATCCAGAGCACTGCATCGGACATCGCGTAGAGAGACTCAAGTCACCCCAAGTGGGAGCATGGTTTCGGTTCGTGACGTGCAAGCGGGCGAAGCGAAGCTGCGCGAGGGCGACGATGTGTCTGCGAACATAGGGTCAATACGGGCAAATCAATTATCTGTGCGTCTCGTGGTGGCTCGCCGTGCTTGTCCTATAGATGTCCCGTGGATTGTCCAATGGGTTGTCGCATAAAAAACACTTTCAGTTGTTATCGAAACATATCGATATTAGTGTTGCTGGTACATCGGCATCAAGGACTTTCGACAATCAACTTGCTGAACCCTCCAACCTCCTCAACAACTGCAGTGTGGTCTAGGATGACTGCCCTGGGGATGGGGCGATAAGGGTAGCATAAAGGAGATTGAACTTACCACAGGAACTGCTACAAAGAGGCTTCATCGAAGAAGAACAACACGGCACGAACATGAACGTTTGGCGCTCCGCGCGGACCTCTTGGACCTGCGCCAGACCCCCCCCCCCTCCCTGGCGCGCGAAGCGCGCCATGGGCGGCGCTGGAGGCTGTCTTTTCTCCTTCGATTTCGAATGACGGAGACGAGAGAGGAGGAGGAGAGATGACGAGGAGGAGGAGGAGGAGGAGGAGGAGGAGGAGGAGGAGGAGGAGGAGGAGGAGGAGAGGAGGAGGAGGAGGAGGATGAGGAGGAGGAGGAGGAGGAGGAGGAGGAGGGGGAGGACCCCGTCCTGGAAGCGGTCCGCGAACGTGAACACGTGCACGCCCGCGTCGGGGGCGGCGGCCGCAGCGGCAGCGCCAGCGTGGAGCGGCAGGGCGGCCGCGGCGGCGCCCGCGACCAGGCGTGCGCTCATGGCTGCCTCTCTCGGGCGTGCCTGCGTTCGCTAAATGAAGGGGCCCAGGGGCACACAGATAGATACACGCACAGATTCCAGGATTTCCGATGTCCTATCACATCGTCTGGGTTTTCGTCGTCCCCCCCCCACTTCCCATATTATTTCCCCATGTCTGTTCCTGGGAGGCGACGGTGAATTGTGTCTGTGTGTCTTTGTCCCTCCTGAGGTGAGGGCGCGACACCTCGCATCACATGGTTGGGGGCGGCCTCCAGAAGGGTGCCAGAAGCATTGAGGCCCCAAAGGTCGGACCGCATCGACGGTCTACCGACGATGCTAGAAGAAGAAAAGACGCCACAACCAGAAACTTTTGGCGCTCCGCGCGGAGTTCCTGGATCTGTGCTCTGGACCTCCCTCCCTGGCGCGCGGAGCGCGCCAGGGGCGGCGCCGGAGGCGCCGCCAGGGGGGGCCTAGCGCGGATTCAAGAAATCCGCGAGGAGCGCTAAAGGTATATGTTTATATAATGTTTTCTTCTTCGAGATGCATGGGCAATGTCAGTATGGAGCAGCATCGTGCTCAGCATCGCACCACATCGCCGATGCACCGGCGGAGCAATGCCGTCAGCAGGTGGGCGGAACGGCACACGTTAGACCCACGCTCTTCGGATGTCCGCCCGTCTTCCTCGCACCTGCGCGCGCGAAGCGCGCGCAGGTGGCGACGAACGCGCCGCCCAGAGGTTGGGAGAGGGGGCCACTGAAGGGGCCCTGGGACACACAACTAAATAAGGCACAAATCCTGGGATTCCCAAACTTTTCCAATATTTCCAAGGCTGTCGTCTTCCCCCCCACATTCCATACTCTCCGGGAGTCGACGATTAATTGTGTTTTTCCCCTCCCGAGCCTCGCGGGGGCGGAGGAGCCATCCGCGGGCTTCTGGCACTTACGTTTGCTTGTGTTTTTGTTCCTGGCCCCGCTGCTTGTGACGCAGCCGCGCCTCGGCGCCCTCGGCGCCCTCGGCGCCCTGCACTCCTTAGGCACGCCCTCGAAGGACTTCAGGTTCCGGATGGTTTTGTCCGCCTCTGCTCGCCTTTCTCCCGCGCCCACCTCCGCCTCCTCTGCCCCGATGCGCTCCTGGCGTGTCAGGCCCGTGGCCCGACCGGCGCATGCACCTGCTCCGACTCGGCTGCGCCCAAGGAGGAGGGGGAGGACGAGGAGGAGGAGGAGGAGGAGGAGGAGGAGGAGGAGGAGGAGGAGGAGGAGCAGGAGCAGGAGGAGGGCGAGGAGGGGGAGGAGGAGGAGGAGGAGGAGGAGGAGGAGGCGGAGGAGGAGGAGGAGGAGGAGGAGGAGGAGGGAGGAGGAAGGAGGAGGAGGAGGATGGAGGTGGAGGAGGGAGGAGGGAGGATGCGGCAGCGCTGATTTTTGAACCCGCGCTCTCCGGCCCCGCCACCTCCGGGGGGGGGGGGGGGGGGGGGGGGGGCACTTCCGCCGAGAGCTCCGACGGCCCCCCGCCTCGTGCTCGAGCCGCTGGCCCTCTCGGGACCTCTCGGGGTCCCCCCCCTGGACGCAGCGGCTCCCCCCTCCCGCCGGCCGTCCTCTGCTGGCCCCGAGGGGCCCCGCGGCCGCTCCGCGCTGGCAGGGGATGCGTCGACCCCCGTCTGGCCCCGACCTCGTCGGGCCTCACAGGACCTCTCGGCCCTTGCCCTCGGAAGGGCTTCCACTCCCGCCAACCGTCCTCTGCTGGCCCCGAGGCTCAGGGGCCGCCCCACGGAACAGGGGAGACGTCGACCCGTGTCTATCCCCGACTCCGTGGGCCTGTCGAGCGTGCAGCACCTGCGGGGCCCAACTCGGGGACTTACGACCGATGGGGCGTCCGTCCTCGATATGAGGGGGTGCGTCCGGATAGCCCCCCGCCGGGGCTGTTGGTCCCCGAGCGCCTCTGTTTTGTCCGAGCGGCTGAACCCGAACAGCGTGTGTTCGTTCTCGTCCTGTTTTCGCTTTCCCTCGCTGTTGTGTCTCGGCGCCGAACGAGGTCGAGATGAAAACGGCCCACGAAATCACCCAAAAACGCCGTTGAAGGCCCAGCCCTGCTGGTTGAGCAGGGACCGACCGTCCCGGCATTGCTATAGTCCTTCCACGACATGTTCTATTTTTTATACATTCTTTTTTTCTGTCTGACAGCCGCGGGGCCCGGGAGGGGCCCGTGGAGGCCGAGAGCGGCGCGTGATCTCAGGACCCGCTTCCCGCGGGCGCCGCCCGCTCCGCGGCGAAGCCCTCGCCCGTCGGAGAGGAACCGCGCCGATCGAAAGCACCAAAAACGTTGTGAGGAGCTGGAGTCCCCTGGAGGCGCGCTCCGCGCGCCAATTAGGGAGATCCAGCGCCGATCCGAGAGATCCGCGCGGACCTCCGACAGCTTGCCGTTATGACTATTCGTGTTGCTGTGTTTTTGTCCATGCCTGCCCGACCCAAGAGGCCCTGAATCATGGCTGAGGGGGAACGCTAGAGAGGGACTGGCTCTTAGGGGTGGGGAAACATTAACCTGGAACGGGCGATACATCGCCGATAGATCCGCGATAGGCCCTCGGTCGCGAATCCGCATGGGCCTTGGGGGACGGGGCTATCAAGCCCCCATCCCAAACCCCGACGTCATGATTTGTTCACAACGTCGACCTCCCAAAATCTCGACCTATTCTCTGGAACCGACCTTTTCAAACTGAATCGTTTTGTTGACGGTCCCGCGGCCTGGTCAGGACCCCCAGATGACGAACATAACGACAAACCGCCCGTCATGATCTTGTCGTGGCTCGAGGGAAGCCGGGACGAGCGATCAGTGGGCGATCGGGGGTCGATGCTTCACCCCCCTGAACCTATTCTTGAGCAAGCACTGACCGTCCCGGCATTCTTTTAGGCCAAACAGAACCTGTTCTTACATATGTAATAACAACAAAAGCCATCTTCGTAAAAACTAGAAACCGATGTATTAAAACTGCACGGTCTCAACCCGACATGTTCTACGACCATCCCGCGCAGACCGCAGGAGGTCATGAGAACACTACTTCGTGGGCCTTTTGGCAAGCCAGGACGCTTCATCATTGCTCGACATCCCTAGGGGAACAAATAATGACATGAACAAAAAAACTCGGAGGTCCGCGCGGAGTTTTCAGATCCGCGCTGGCCCCTCTCCCTGGCGCGCGGAGTCTGCCAGGGGCGGCGCCGGAGGCGCCGCCAGAGGGGGGTCAAGCGCGGATCCGAGTTGTTATGTGTTTATGCCATTCCTCGTTCCCCTGATCCCCCCCCTCCTAGCTTCCCCTTCCTCCTCCTCCTGCTCCTCCTCCTCCCCTCCTCCCCCTCCTCCGCCTCCTCCTCCACCTCACCCTCCTCCCCTCCTCCTCCTCCTCCTCCTCCTCCTCCCCCTCCTCCCCCCTCCTCACTCTCCTCCTCCTCCTCCTCCTCCTCCTCCTCTCCTGCCTCCTCCTCCCCTCCTCCTCCCCCTCCTCCTCCTCCTCCCCCTCCTCCTCCTCCTGACGTTCTCGGCCCATAGCCATGGCCTCCGTGGCACGGGCGGGGGCGGCGCGGCCTGAGCCGGGAGCGGCGGCGGCAGGCGACGCGCCGTGACCGCGCAACCCCCGGGGGCAAGGGCCGCGCGTGGGCGGCCAGCAGCGAGCGTGCGTGCCGCTCCTCCCCCTCCTCGCCTTTCTCCTCCTCCTCCTCCTCCTCCTCCTCCTCCTCCTCCTCCCATACCCCTCCTCCTACACTCCCTACACCCCTCTCTTCCTCCGGCCTCGCCTCCGCGCTCCTCCTCCTCCCTCTCCCTCTCTTCTCCGCCTTCCTCCTCCTCCTCCTTCCTCCTCCTCCCGCCTCCTGCGATAAAGAAAAAAAAAGAAGAGAAAAAGAAAGCCCTTGCGCCCGCTCGCCGCCCCCACTGTGCGTCGCCGGGGGCGAGAGGACCCGGTAGGCAACCACGCGAGCAGCGGCCGACGTCCAGTCCAGCGCTGGCGCAGCTAGGCCGCCGCAACCGCCCGGCCCGCAGCTCGGCCGCCCAGCCAGCGCCGGCGCGGTCCGCGCCCAGCGCCGTCCTGAGCTGGCGGGCGGTGGCCAGGTGAAGGGCCACGCTAAGCTCACGGCCCTACTGGGCCATCAGGGCGCCGGCGGCTGCACGGGCGGCCGCCTCGGCGAGCAGGGCCGCCTCGCCCCGCGCGAGCTCGCGTACATGCACACGGCCGGCCCCCCAGTCCGCGAGACCCGCCTCGTGACACGAACGTTCGCGCAGTGCGTACGCTTGAAACTAGCGTGGGTTCCTGTGCCTGTGCGTCCTGCCTGCGCTCCCCAGCCACGGGGGGGAAGCGGGTCCTGAAGGAAAACGGGTCTGCAGGTTTTTCTCCCCGCTTGGAACTCCCGGGGCCCTCCACGGACCCGGGGACTGCTGGGCTTGATTTCCACCACCGGCACCACAAGTTGGAGTGGACGGGGGTCCTCCTACTCTGGAGTCAAAACGGACTTGAGCCAAAATGGCTACGGACCCTCCTCCTCCTCCTCCTCCTCCTCATCTTCCTCCTCCTCACCCTCCACCTCCTTCCCCCATCCAACGTATGGTGGTTCTGGTGGACGACAACAAGCCCCTCGGAGACTGTCAGAGCACAGCTCAAGATGCAGACCTCGACACCGGGGGGAGGCGCCCTGGTCAAGGACCCGTCTCCCCGAGGACCCGCCCCCACCGCCGGCGAATTCTGGCTGCCCTCGGCGCGCTGGAATGAAGGAGGAGGAGGAGGAGGAGGAGGAGGAGGAGGAGGAGGAGGAGGAGGAGGAGGAGGAGGAGGAAGAGAAGGACGAGGAGGACGAGGAGGAGAAGGACGAGGAGGAGGAGGACTTCATCGGCACGAGGGGGCTGATGAGAGGGCTGGAGGCCACTTCGAAGGCAGGGGCCCCCTCAGGAGGGACCGCGGGCTCCCGAGAGGCCTTCTTTCCTCTGGAGGAGCCAAGCAGTCTCCCGAGAAGCGCACTGGCCTGCTTCGGACCTCCCCTCGC